GATAACGTGGTTCTTCTTTTTGAAAAAGCCTACCATAGGCTCACAAAAGAAGCATATAACTGAAGTCACTCTAACTATACCTTAAAAAGATTTTCCTTGGAAAATTAGGATCCATAAAATAGGCCAATATTGGCGGCCCACACGGCATCAGAGGGATGCCTGGCCGGGCCCCCCTGTGCACGGGCCCCATAGCAGCCGCCTGGGTCGCTATGGCGATTGTTACGCCACTGAATCCAACCACATTTCAGAAATCTATGGCCTCCTAGGTGCCATGCAGACATTTCCTTTTGTCTGAAGTTTTGTTTCGGAAGTGTGCGTGTAGATCTCACAAAGCTAACCCCAAAAATGTTGTATCAGAGGAAGATCAGAGACGTTTGCATGCCTTTGAGACTGCTTTTAAATGAATTCATGTTTTTGTTTTGCACCATTTCAAACACTGTAGCTTGGATTTCACATTCCAGAGATATTTAATCTCATTTTATCAATGCAGCAGAAACATTATCCACCTATTATTGCGCTAGAAATAGCCTTAATGAGAAATAGATGGATTAAACTGAATTGTTTTAAGGTTTCAATCTCCTTTCTAGTTACCCCACATTAATGCATTCCTCTCTCCCCTGCCCATTGGCACAGTTTATCTCATCGTTGTCTGTATTCTTGTCTCCCCCTGCCATTCCTATCTCTTGATCCCAAAACGCCTCCTTTGTATTCTCATCAATGCTTGTGTCCTTCTGTTCTTATCAAATGGGACATTTTCTCAAGCTGTTTGTTTGATATGGTATTTTTAAGTTAGAACAATTCAGGTAAATGTAGAACTTGACTTGTTAATTCAATTATGTTTTTTTTTTCTCTAGACAGATTTGAATGAACAGCGCGGCATTCCCTAAGTAATGAGATACGGTTCATTTTGTGTTCCAGTCAAACTCCACACTATTAATTATATTTTAAAGTGTCAGTCCACCAAATTCAAATATTTCATTTTTTTGGGTAGATGTGGGAGAGTTAGAGTAGGGAATAGTCAGGATGCACCAACGTAATAAGGGTTTATAGAATTTATTTTTATTTTGTTGCTAAAGCCCCCCAGCTTCAGTAGAGAAGTCCATGCTCAGCATAAGCCTGCAGCTATAGGCCATTGTGCTCTGTGTGGGAGCAGCAGTCTCTACAAACAAGCCCCCTAGTGGAGTCACTACTACAGCTCTGAAAACAGCAGTGTGCGTTGCTGGCTGCAACACCCATTTACACCATTTTTTTTACATGTTTCAAACCGTAACAATGCTCAGCATGAAGAACCCCATTATTTTTAATGGTGCCTGTTGTACCATTTGTGGCCTCATAGACTTTAATGGAACCATTTGAAAAGCAGTTGAAAAACATGTGTATTTCACATGATTTTGAACCTAACAACCATCTTCTCCTACTCCTAGTACATAGCTTTCCATTGGTTAAAAGGAAAAAAAAACCCTCAAGCCTGAAAATGCCTGAAAAAACAGTGAATAAAACACTTCTAAACTACCTGAAAATACTCAAGCTCAAGTGCGAATACGTGGATAAGAGTGACCTAGCAGATGGGAGGTGTCAGGCGGTAGTACACAGACTGCTGCTGTCACGCAAAGTGCCGTGATGGACATAGCTGTAGGTGCTGGAGCTGGGACGCTTTACAAAAACTATAAACAGTAAGGCAATAAATACTTATGGGTCTAGTTATAAATCATTTCACACAAGATTCACACAACTTTCTCTCACTATTCACACATTTTTCTAATTGAAACGTTTATTGAGCTCTCTACACTTGTGTTTTTTTTTTAGGACTGTTTACCTAAATGTGCTGTTACAAGGGAGTTCAACTTTTCCTGTTGGGTTTCTAAATAATTTTTATTAGGAAGAAGGCAACAGAATTATCAGGACTATCTCAAGGTAGGCAGGAACCCCTGAAACTGGCAGATGGATGGGAACAGATCTATGGCAAAGGTTTCTTGCCAGTCCCGAAGAGCTGTTTAATTCCACAAATAACTGGAATATAATTTTGGGGTGAACAGCCCCCTTCTTTATAAAAACAAGACACCGTCAATTAGCAGAGTGACAACTTTGTTTTCCGTTTTCATTACTATGCTTAAACCTTCCTGCAGAGCTAGATCATTTAGTGCAAGGATTTTCATACAAGTTTCCAAGAATTTTTTGTAAAAATGTATATGCCATGGGGCTGATGTAAAAAGCAGTAATGTGCCTACCTCCCAACTCTCTCTAATCTGGAAGGAATGTCCCTTAATTGGAACCAAATCTCTCTATCCCTCTTTCCTCTGCAGGTGTCCCTCTTTTTGTTGTGATGTACAGATGTCTATGAAAATGTACTATTTAACAACCAAAAGTGTTATTCTGCACTAAAACCTTAATCCTATGTCTTAATTATATTGTTTGCTTTTTCGAAAAGCCAGTATATTGGAAACATAATGGTGGGGAAAAAAAAACAATTTTGGGGTTACCCAATCGATTTCGGCATATACATTTGTATTGGTCCACATAACTGGGGGTGTGGCAGGGGTGTATCCATTGCCTAAATACATTGTGCTGGAAGGTGTCCCTTTTTCTCATGTCAGAAAGTTGGGAGGTAAGGTAGTATGGCTGCATCGTGGCTATACTGCTGCTTAAAAAAAACCCACTGCATATTTAAAAAAGCACAGCGATATGCTTTAGAAATGTGTATTGTGCTATATTGACTATGGCAGTATGAAGCCAGCGGAGTGCAATAAAACTTCATTAAAATACTGCAAAATAAATCTGGGAGGAGAGCCTGACCATGTGACCTGTCAAAGTCACATGATTGGCTCCACTCTATTTACAGACTGATCTCTGTTTTAGTAAAGAACTACATAAGATGCTGCAGGCTGCATAAAGCTGGCCAATTTTCATGAATGGGCAGTCTGCAGTAACTCTGCAGAGTATAACTGGGAGCTGATAGCGATATCTGCTTTCCGTTATAAATGACCCCCTAAGGCCCTTTTCACATGAGCATTCAGGTTGTCAGGTTAAAAAATGGACAACAGTGTATCTCTATGGCAGTAGGAATGAAAACTGATGACCATCAGTTTACATCAGGAAACATCAGTGTCAGTTGAGGTCAGGAATTTGAGCCGGATCAGCTCTCCGTTTTGACTGACCGGGACTGATGTAAACTGATGATCAGTTTACATCAGTTCTGGTTACGTCCGTTTTTTTGGGACTGATGTCGTAATACAGCACTGCATTTACCATATCAGCAGTTTGAGATTAATTGGTCATAACAGACATACACAGCGAGAAACTGTATTCTAGCAGGACATGGTCTTTTGATGAATGGATTACTGGACTGGTAATGGGATAGCATCTAATTTGCTAAGACAAAACACCCTGAAAATTTGTATCTGTGCCTAGCCCCTCCAGTACATCATGCTAATTGACAGTTCATTTTACATAGAGCAATGTAAGAATAGTTCTTATTGCATCATGGGAGCTTAGTGTTTTCTCTGCCCAACTCTGAAATGCTGAAGAGGAGGAGGAGGCCACACACAAATGCTGCAAGTTTCTGGAATTCTTCCACATGTGCCTGACCGGTGAGGTGTTTAGTGATCAAATAAACAGGGGTCGTTGTCCTTCTGGTATTCTATTGGGAATGTATTATGTGGCCTGTTTTGATGGCAATGCGATTTAGCCACTTATATAATTTATAGTACTACATGAATGAAACAGGGACAATTTTGCAACAATCTCCAAGTACAAAGCGTAAAAACAAATCAGGTGAGTTTTAAAACTTGACGGGGCAGGATGGGCATAACAATTTATTATCGTTCTCTGCTACAAAAATGGGATTATACCCAGTGTTACGTGTACCAAACAGATAGTGGAAGCAGAAATAGATTAGGGCAGAATGGGGCTCTAGGCAAGCTTGCAGCTTTAACACCCCCCTATCACTTTGCCTGATGTTGAAGGATTGCAATAGGCACATAGAAGCTACCCCATATGTATTGTCTGTACTGGCATGGCCCCATTAGACCCCAACTGCCTACAAGTACATCCCTCCCTTGCGAAGCGACAGGGTAGGTGCATGGCTTTGATAAATTGTGCTATCCCTTTGGTTTACTGCAGGAGCATGAAGGTTGGAACAGGACCCCTGGACATCCACCAGACCCTAGGCACCTGCCTTAGTTGCCTTGTTGATGATCTGATGCTGAGCAGGGCCAGATTTACTTCTGTGGGCTGAGAAATCAAAAGCTCACCCCACCCCTCACCCCCACCCCTTACCCCACCCCTCTGGCTTTCTCGAGGTCGTGCGGCCCCAGTTCCGTCCGGGAGGACTGTAAAAAAAACAAAACTATATATATTACAGACAGGCAGCACCCCCTGTAGGCATATGCCTACATTGCCTAGTGGGAAGTCCGGCCCTGACACAGAGTGGATGTACATTTAGTACAAAAGAGATATATGTATATTTATATAGGGGGCCCCCCTTTTTATATATATATATATTAATTCTAATATATTCTAATCAGTTTAATCACAGTTTTAACATTTATTTTAGAAAAATGGTCTGACCCAACAAGCTAAAAAGCTTGTATGTGGGACTCTTTACAGAAATAAAGGATGATGATTTACCTACTGCACTTATTTATATTCCTGGTCTTTATTGTAAAGCTATAAGTATTTACAGGTCTTCATCCTCTTATCTTGATTGCTTTAGTTTCCCTGTTTCTTCTGTATGACTCTTTTGCTAACTCTTTCCATGTCTCATTATCATTATTTGTTTTTGTCTGTCTTTTATGTATGCTGTTTTTCCTCGGTACACCCTGGAGCTAAGCCAGGAACAAATCCTCTTCTCTCCACAGTGTTTCTCAGTGGCTGCCTATTGATTCAGCATTAAATCTGGCACAGAGAGGACAGTCAGGGTGACCTCTGTACTCTGAGCACCTCTGGAACAACGTGAATTAACAGATATACATGTCCACATTGACAAGCTATGACTTACTCACCATGAGCATCTCACTAGTCAGTGAGTTCACCAAGTCTGATACCGATGAGCGCTGGTCTGTTTTTCGGTCAGTCTCATCTGGATGCGCTTGTCCTGGCACCGCTGTTGCGTTTGTGGTTTTGGTCCCAGCTGGCACTCTTAAAAAAGAAAGAAAAGAGACATGTTAAATTGTGCAGCGCAATCATCTGGCTGTGGCCTTGGAAGTAGATAAATGGAGCCAAGTGTCAGCCACTGATCCAGAGAGGGTATTGGAATTCACCCAAGTGAACATTCCACAATAAAGCAGTCGTTGCACTATACATGCTATGATATTTAGTAGTCTGGTGAATGCAAGCAGTGGCTGATGGGGGTTGTATGTCAGCGTTAGCTGCATATACTGTACACATAAATAAAGCTGGTCATGCATGACTTTTGTCAATGTTATCAAAAGATCAGAAGCGATGTGTCTTGATGTCTGAGCACCTGGATATGTTGCAACTCTTCCTCCTGCCACAGTAGTTAAGAGATGAATGATAACTGACAGTCACATGTAACAAAACTGAAATATGTAAGGGATCCAGAAGGTTCAGGTGCACAGTTATGATGTACCAAAGGGCAATTGATAATTTCCCATCAAAAGTACAGGGAATCTGCCCATTTGAGGTCATCCATCACTCCTCATACTTGGCTGTGGGATGGCCCATTGTGGCACAGATTGGGCTATTCATGGTGATTGCTCTAACAGGTATGAATGCCATCATTGTTCAGGGTACATACCATTGCAGTGCACCCCAGGTGCTTTGGTACCTGAGCTATTGTAGGTGCTCTAATGAAGGAATGAATCATTATGGATTGATCATTAGCAGTGAATGTCTAAATCAATCTTTGCTGTATGTGTTTGGGCGCCTTAAAAGATAATGTTATTTGACTGTCATGGGTTACTTACAACCCATTACAGTCCTGTGCACTTGGAGGATACATAAGCCCATACGTGTACCTGGCTCTTCAGAAAAGTGATTGTACATTATGTATAGAATGCTACATATTTTACATATAAAATATGTCATCACAGAGCGCAAATAATCATATTGAAAATTCATGGGGTTGTTTCATTGCTTTTTTATCTGTCAAGGTTTGTTATATCAGACTATGCCCTGGCAGTCACACACACATGACTGACTATCAGGGATATACTGATATAACAAACCCTAGAGGCTTCTCTGCATCTCTGGACTTGGCTGATTCCAAGCTAGAGCTCAGTGCTGACTACATCTACTGAGTTTATTCCCTGTCACAGTTTAACATGGTTTGTGTTTCTGGAGGTGAGCCAAGCTCAACAGCACAACACCACAGACACAACAGCTTAATAGTGTCACCAAATATATAGAAAATTCTGTGTTTATGTATATACAGTATTTGTGTGTGTCAATGCCTAACACAATTTATGTCTAAACCATAGGCATTGCCTTGAGGAAAGGCAGCCAAACTTTTCATGGTAGTGTCCCAACCATCTGTCAAAGCTCTTGGACTTCTATAAGAAACCAATAGAATGAACGTCATATCGTATAAGCTAAGGATCCCCTAAATTTCCCTGTAGAACCATTTCTGTTGCTAGTCTACAGGCTGATGTCTAGGTAATAACATTTACACTTTTTTGAGTAGAATTAAGTAAGAAGTTTAAATTAAAAGCAAAAGTATTTTTTTTGTTTTATGCTGCTGTGATGTTTACTGTTCTTTGTCTCATTTGAATATGGTGCCTGTGGAAAATATGGGAGATCAATTTACATCTTAATAGCAATAAAATATAGTTTTTGGTTTATATTATAGTAGTATATTGCTGTATACTGCAGCTTGTAAAACAGAAGCAAGGGAATTTATAGTTTAGGAAATTAGATTGGGATCATAAAGCCAATGGCTCATTGGATCATGGCTGTGCAGTACATATGGTAATATCGCAGATACTTTGGAGGGAAAATATAAAAACTTGAGCAGACAGAATCATGGCAACCAATTAGCTTCTCTCTTCAGTTTGTTGAGTTAAGATTTGAAAATGAAACAGAGATGCTGATTGGTTGCCATGCACAGCTGCTCCAGATTTTGTCTGCTCCAGTTTTGATGTCATTTTTATTAGGCCAATATTAGGAATCCTCCCCAAATGGGAAGAATATTCATGGCTAAGATCGTGAATAAAAGTAACATGGAACAATTGTTTAATACATAATCTTTTGGACATGATTGTATCTTTCTATCAATCAATCAATTGATAATCAACTATTCTGTCTTACATAAACACAGGTGTTCAACAATTTCATTGAATGGTCTCAAGAATTGTCTCAACTCTTTTAATTTCTTCTGATTGGTACTCTTTCGATTTGAAGGCTGAAAGATTGCACAACTGCTCATCAATGTTTGTAAGCCATGACTATAATACAAGATTGTTTCTATCAAATGACTGTAAAAATACATGTATGGCCACCTTCAGGGGTTGTATGTCACAGCAATGATTGCTATTTAGTATCTAGCTGTCATGATTTTAGCTGGTACATTCAGGCAAGGAACAACAGTTTCTGTGGGCATTGAACCGTTTTGACTGTCAGAAGAAGATATGAAACTGAATGAGGACTGCTGTCAGTGCTAGTCAATCTAGATATCTGCATTCATTTTAGTAAGACTGGCTCTTCAGTTGATGTATGTATGTGTGTATGAAGAGAGATGGCTACAGTATACCTTCACTCCAGGTTTTGGAGTCCACATGTACGAGCCCTTAAAATGCCCCCCGAAAAGTGTGCCTGATGCAAGTTAATGATTAATTAAAGGAGAGAGCTTAGCTAGATGGGTTGAAGAGCGAGTGCCCGAAGGATCCAAATCATAACTGCTACTTCCCTTTATTTAGCAGAGGTATGTTCACCCAACATTCATTAAAGAAAATCTAGTATTTTACTTTTTCACATCCGTTTTCCCTTGTTATCTGTTATTTCCACAATTTTATAAAAATGTAATACCACAAAGACTGAACAGGACAGTTAAAAGTTTTTATATGGAACAATATTGAGCTTGTGTTTTGCGCCATTTGGTTGGTTTTGATTTTGCAAGAAATTTTAACTACAGTAACTGTTACTGACAGAGAATATAGTCTTGTAGTAATATAAGCTATGGTTAATTGTCTGTATTTGAGGAGAGGAACCTGTGTAACACCACAGCATTTACTATTTGTGTCATATCATACAGAGTAAAGAAGAAGCAACCGCCATTAATCCCCTGAGAGCTCTACTCTCACCCTGATGCAAGCATACAGTTTATTTTCTTATTCATTCCCTAAATGTATCACCAGAAACATATTAGATAGAAGAGGCTTCCACAAGGCTGTAATATCGTGAGGACCTTGTATTCATGGTATGTATTGTTAACAAGAAGTAGATGTGATGGATTCATGGTTTCTGGTAGGACCTTTGTGGAGCTTAGCTACAGTGTGCCCTTTATATGCATAAAGGTGGATGGTTTTCTATATATATTTGCATAATACATATATCCTGTGTACTGTACACTGTTGGGGAAAACCATCCAAATCTGCACAGTTAAAGTGCCCGTTATAAGACCATACTTTGTGAAAATCTCTTGGGTTCCAAACTCCCCCTATATGGGAAAGAGTGAAGTGAGGGAGCACAGGTTAGACACCGGTGGGGAGAAGGCCAGCAGATACATCATTAACATTACAGCATAGAAGCAGAGGCAGCAGACCCTGCATGCAGAGCAGAAGCACAATGAGATAAGAACACAGAACAGCTAATACAGTGAATACAGAACGAGAGAAAGAGACAAGGGGTTACATCGAATTAGGATTCAGCACTGGTGACTCACAAAGCCAGCGGCTAAAAGGATCTGTGCCCTGTTAAAAATCTAAGCGAATGGAGAAAAGTTGGGAAAGGTGGGGGTTAAAGCAGTGAGAAGTGGAAGAATGCACAAACAGCTGTGTGTGAGAGAGGTAAAAGTTAGTGAATACAATGGCCGGTATGAAACCGGTGAGGTAGTGAGCAGACAGGGAGAAAGCAGCAAACATATAGGTTAACATTGAGGAAGCAACACTGAAGGCTGCAAAAACAAGAGACAGATTTAACATGATGGCTACATAAATGTAACAACCTATCCTGGTCTATTAATTCCTTGTTTGATAAATTGGCTTTACAGATTATCATGATTGTGACATTTCCCATCTAATGGTTTGATGAATCTAGGCCAGTGCCAGCAAAATGTATGATAGGCCTAGCTAAAGATGTCTATGTAAGAAGTCCTCCTCGGGAGGTGTTAGATTTACATTCAAGATGCGCAAACTAGGCCAGTGTATGCGTTATCAACAGTCTAGAGGGGTTTTGTAAGAACATTTAGAATTTTAGGGAGGGATTGGCATTCGTGTGGTTATGAATAATAAATCAGCATTTGCAAGCTGTTAAAATTGTAAGGAAAACAGAGCAAAGAGACAGAAATATTCCAATTATAGAGTGTCATCTAGAGTGCAGAAGGAGAATTAACTGTGAGGAATGTGGAGGGATCAGGGACAAAGAGGCTGGCACACGTGACACACACACGCAGACACACTAATAAAGCCTTCGCTGCACAATCGGACGTACGGTACATTCCAGCCTTGAAGCATTTGTCTGCTTTTTCGTTGCAACTAAACCTTCTCTGAAAAACATACTTCATCCCCTTGCAAGTCATCTCAGTTATACACCTTATTATAACAGTTATTTGTTTAACTAAACATGGGAACATCTGTAGAGAGGTGTGAAAATCGCTCTCATGCACAGTCCTTTGCAAAATTGTCTCAGTTGACAGCCCAGGATTACAGTCTCAAGGGTTGCAAATACACTCAAAAACTGTTACATACACTTTGCTAAACATGAGGCACCCTGACGTCATTCCATAGATATGCATTTAATTTTGTTGTTGAAAACTATCCCTCAATATACCATAGAGAAAGTAGACTCGCTTACTATTTGTAACCAGCCAGCAAATCCCCTTCACAAAAATTACATTCAGAGACAACCAAGTAACAAGAATTTTAGGAAGTTGGAAATGGCAGTACAGGTTTCCTTAACGTGAACCTGTGACATTCAAATATTAGTATTTTCTAACAAGAAATAAATAAGCTGTAAAACAAACC